AGCGATTTATTTGAAAACAACCAAATTACGGATATAATAGTAATAGATTTTTTCTTTCTTTTTTCATTCATTCATTCCTTTCCCTCCTCCATCCAATCAATCATGTACTCAATCTTGTTTCAACCAATCCCATACACCTTGTAATATTCAAACGTCTTCTCAGCTATCCTCTAACCAACCACATGCAACCTCTCAAAGCTGAATGAACACTTATCAAACAATCACAAACGAACCATCTTTCACCGTTCATCCAATCACGAAAGACCTTTCAGTATCTTCTGGACAGCTTCAGGAGCCAGCTGAGCAGCTGTGTGGCCCAGCAACGAGATGAGCGTAGCATCGGCTCCGTACAGCAGTAGCAGACGGCAGGCTGCGACGTTGCCCGACTTTGCAGCCCTATGCAGAGACGAATGACCTTGGAGGTCAAGAGCGTTGACCTTGAGTGATTATATGATGACGATTATTATGACTGCTAAACTTACTAGAATTATAATTATATTATTAATAATATAATATAATAATAATATTATTATTATAATTATTAATAATTAAAATTATACCTTGGCACCATTTTTTAACAAGACGTCCATGATATCGAGGAATCCATTGTCAGTTGCCACATGTAGTGGTGTTAATAATCTATGTGTGTGCGTGCGTGTGTTTGTGTGAATGTGTGTGTGCGTGTATGAATGTGTTTGTGTGAACGTGTGTTTGTGTGAGAATGTGTGGGCGTATGTGTGCGTGAATGTGTGTGTGTGTGACTGTAAAATCATCTCCTTCATCGTCATCTCCATGCTACCTCATAAGTAAGCTTGTCATCACCATAACCGCCATCACCATTATTTTAATCATTTGTCGAAATTTTCGTAACCACAACATCAGCACTATCTCCATTTTCATCATCATCATCAGCAGCAGCAGCAGCAGCTGCATCATCTTCGTCATACTAATCATCATCATAAAAGTGACTCACTCATTGTTCTTCTCATTCACATTGGCTCCCTTCCTTAGTAGAAACTCAATCACCTGCTTCTTCTTGTTATTATGCGCTGACAGCACTGCACAATGCTGAGGAATAACAGAAATAATAACAACTAAAACGACAACAACAACAATAATAACAACAACAATAATAACAATAATAATAACTGACCAGTGGCCCATCTGACAAGAATGGGTGTTTATAATTGATGACGTCATTGGATATTTGTTTCTTTACGCTGGGCATGTCACATAATTTACAACTCTTCAAGAAATTCAGCGCTCTATATTCAACTGTGTGTGTGCGTGTGTGTGCGCGCGTGTGTGTTAACTATCAAGTTGTAAGTGTGTGTGTTTATGTGTATAGTAGTAGTAGTAGCAGTAGAAGTAATAGTAGTAGCAGCAGTAGCAGCAGTAATGGTAGTAGCGGTATTACATAAAAATATCATTGTAAATTAATATTAATTAATACTACAATCTTGGTTTTCAAATATCATTACGGCAAAGAATTGAAATTCACGGGACAATGACAATAAAAAAATAATTTTGTGAAAAACATAGATACAAAAATTTAAAAAAAAAACAAATGATCAAAGCCAACATTGAATTTTATCTGCAAGTTCTGGGGTGGCAGCTACGTCGATGGGGCTCTTTGAGTGACAGTTTAGTAAATTCGGGTCGGCCCCCTCGACCAATAGGAGCATGCATACCTCCAGCCTGTTTTTAGAAGCGGCTTCATGCAGTGGGGTGAACTGCCAGAGGTCCATTGCATTCACATTGGCACCATGCTGTTTGTGTGCGTGTGTGTACGTACATGTGAGTGTGTACATGTGTGTATGTATGTGTGTGTGTGTGTGTACGTGTTTATGTATGTCTGTGTGCGTACATGTGTGTGTGTGTGTGTGTGTGTGTGTGTGTGTGTGTGTGTGTTATTCTGTGTGCATGTGTTTATAAAAACATAAAAAAAAACATGAATCAAAGTTAATGGATTTCAGATCACGAACCTTTAAGAGGAGTTCAGTTACTTCAAAATGCCCATAGGAGCATGCATTATGCAGAGGAACCAGACCGCTAACGTGAAGAGACGATGATTTTAAAAAATTAAATAAAGATTAAATAAAACAAATTATACATACGCACACATAGAAGAATTATATATAGGCATAAACAAACACACAACTCAGACATATGTGCTTACATATATATTGTTCATACTAACACACACACACATCACACACACACACACACACTTACACATACACACACGCACACAGACACAGATACAAACACACACAGAGATAAACATACAAACCCTTTATCTTTAGAGTGCACATCAGCACCATTCTGCAAGAGCAACTGAACAATGTTTGTCCTATTATAACCGGCTGCTAGATGCAAGGGAGTGGACTGATAAGAAATGAATAAATTATTTTTATTATACTATAAAATAATTATAATTATTTTTATTAATTATAATTTCAATCATAATATTGTTAATAGTAGTGTTAATAGTGTTAATTAGGACATTAATTATAATGTATCTTTGTGTGATGCAAAACAAGCTAGAACTCAATGCAAGGCAACAACTAAGATAGTACTTTAATCAAGAGCCCAGGAAAAATGAAGTGAAAAACATCTGCATACACACCAATACATACACACACACACAAACATACACACCAACACATGGTGGGCGGCGTGATGGCTCAATGGTTAAAGGCGCCTGGTCTTGCTATTGTAATGACTGGGTTCAAATACAAAGAGATCCCCGCCTATCATATGCAATGTGTACGATGCGTGATTTGTACGCGTATTCATATACGCTGTGTGTGTTTGTCGTTGAAACTTCTGAAGCAAACGCAAAAGAGAGAGAGAAACCTTTAACCTTTAACACACACACACAAACACACACAAACATACACACCAACACACACACACAAACATACACAACAACGCACTTTTCTGCCATCAAAAGCATGACAATTAGCATTTAGTGGAGTGAGCAGGGCAAGCATTCGCTCGTATTTTCCATTTCTAGCACAATCCAGTATCTCTTCTTTCTTATAGTCACCTATGTATGTATGTATGTATAAATGTTTCTGTGTATTTATGTGTATGTATGTGAATGTATATATGTATGTGTATATGTGTGCTACGATGTATGTATATAGCTATATATGTTTGAATGCCATTGTGTAAATGTGTGTGCATAGTATGTATGTATGTATACATATTTGAGTGTGGTATGTATGTATGTATACATATGTGGGTGTGGTATGTATGTATACACATGTGGGTGTGGTATGTATGTATGTATATATGTTTGTATTTGTTTAAGTATGTATTTATGTACTCAAAATAGCATACTTTCAAACCATTTAAGCAAAAAAATACCGGAAAAATTAAACAGAGAGGTATGAAAAAATGAATGTAACAAACTGGTGAATACGGATTTAGCTTGATGGTCAGCCAAATCGTACGGTGTTTTGTTATCCGTGTTCTTTACCGTAGGGTCAGCCCCATTTTGTAGCAGAACTAACAAAAATTATAAATATAAATTATAAATATAATTAAAAATAATAATAATTAATATGAATGTAGTCAATTATTAAATAAAATGAAATTATAGAAAAAAATCCCATCCCTGACCAATGCAGACGTCGATCTTTCCTTTGATGGCAGCTTCATGCAGTGGGGTATAGCTCCAATTATCCCTGGCATTGGGGTCGGCGCCATTTTGTAGCAACAGTTGAACAACGTCGACGTGACCAAAACTGCATGCATTGTGAAGAGGAATTAGGCCACCGTCATCTCTGGCCGACACGTCTGCCCCGTTTTCAATTAAGTATTCCACTACTTCTCTTCTTCCAAAGCCTTGAAAATTATTTCAAACATTCATTATAATTATTTATAATTACAGTTAATTTATCTATGTTTAGTTTTCAATATAACATATTATATATTTTATCATGAAGGTAATATTATAATAATAATATCATGTCATATCACATCACAAACAAGTTTAAACTAGGCAAAAATTTAAAATAAAAAAACAGATTCAAATTCAATGAATAAAAATTTAAAATAAAACATAATAAAAAAAGAAAGTACTCAAAGGTAAGGTAATCATTTCATTAATTAAAAAAAGATTAAATAAGAAAAGTAGATTAAGAAAGATTGAATTAAAATTTAAAAACATTTAATAATTATAATTTTAAAATCTTTCTTTAACATTGTTTTGTGAGATTTTTTAAAATCAAATAAAATGAAAAAATAACTAATCCCCAACCGGCCGCAAAATGTAAGGGCGATGATTTCCGTCCGGCTGTATCCTTTGAATTCACAGTACTGGCAGTCAGTAACTTTTTCAACTTAACTAAATCGCCATTTTTACAAGCGTCAAATAAATCGCGTCCGGATTCATCGAGACTATTTTTAGTAATTTGGTTTGTAAAATCCTTATTTTCATTGTCCTCTCCGTCTAGATTTGAAGACCCGAGGGCATTTCGATAGCTGAAAGTGGCCATTTATATTTAAAAATTAATTCATTTGCCTTGTTATTATTTGGTCTGACATTTTGAATAAAGTTCGATGTTGAGTGTTTACCACTTTCACATAAATTTCGTAAATTTCGAATCAACTTTTTTAGGTATAATTTCAGCTGGTTATTTTACAATTTTGAATAAATATACAATATTTATTGTTAATATTTAACTCTTATTATATATTTACATCATAAAATGTTCAAATTAATCAATTAAACAGACACCAACCTGGTGTAGACTAGATATTTTATTGGTATTAGTTTTATTGATCGAAGTTTGTTAAATGTAAAATCTTGAAAATAACGTCCAAGTTTTGAATCAAGTTTTTTCGATATACGCGTCACATAAAATAAGAATTTATATACATAATTAAAAATATATCTAACAATAGAATAAATCAATGTACATTGTATGAATTAAAATATCTATCAATAAGTCTATGTACATAAGGGAGGCACTTCTTATATTTTATTTTTACAAGTAGACGTCATCAGCTCTAGCTGGCCGAATTTTCATTTCAACTTTTTTTAAAGAACTGCTGGCTCCTGTCCATGTTTTCCAAACAATCCCATTAAATTTATCGGCAGGGACTTTACCATTGGGATAAAAAACCCCATTCAAGTTGGACTTGTAGCAGTTGTAGTACCACCAGGCTCCGGTGAATTTCTGGGCGCAACTACCTCCAAAGTGAGTTTCATCATCGTCGTTGTCGACGTCTTTGGTGGAGAATTTTTTTCTGTTGTGCTTCCTGAGCGAGTCGCCGGCTGGACTTTTGTTGTAACCTGCGACGAACAGCCTGAAACCATCTTCTTCGTTTGAGATTCGGAATCTGTCGTAAGTCACGGTGCGTGTGGCTCGCTGCCAGTCTGTCATCTCGATTCGTAATTTGTAATGTTCCTGGTTCGTTATCTGGTGCAGCACCTGGTTTCCTATCCAATGCTCGTCCAAGATTCCTACAAATTAAAAAAAAACTTACAATTTTTATCTGCTTTATTATTTTTTAAATAAACCTTAAAAATTTAATATCATTAATAAAAACATAACGGCAAAACTTACTTCCAAAGCCGGCTTTATAATCCTTCCAATCTCTGTAGAAATTTTCACGTCCCTTCATTCGTTTCTGAATGATGGTCCACCCCCCATTAACCATATCGCAGAAGACTTCCATCTCGTTCCCTGACGCCACAGGCCTGATCTTCAGGGGCATGTCGTGTTTGCGCCCCATCTTGAAATGATCGTAACAGTCTGTAATGCAATTAATAAGGATTATCTATATGAATTGGACGTGTGTGTTTCTTTGTGTTTGTGTGTTTGTATGTGCGCGCGCGTGTGTTTGTTTGTATATGTGTGAGTACAAGTATAGAATATAGGCTAAGTTTTAATCAGATTTGTACAAAATAAATTATTTTCAAACAAATTGCATTTGAATCGAAGCATTTGTTTATGCAGACGATTATGTATAAATAAATTAAAATGTATTTAAACATGGCCTGTGACCTTTTGGTTGGGAATATTCAGGATCAAAATACACTGGCGGATCCGGAAAATCATTAGCCGTCGATATTCGGTCGGATATTTTTGTGGATTTTGTCTCGAGCTTTTCAGCTTTTTCGATTTTCGTAGCATCCTTAATGGTATTGTTCAGTATTATATTGGTTGTTTGTCGTTGATTTTGTTTGCTAGTGTTGCCTATAGACGGTTCTGCCATTTGAGTCGGTATGTAGGCCTGCAACACGCTTAACTTATTGTCGTCATTATCATTATTATTAGTAGTTGTAGTGTAAGTAGTAGTAGTAGTATTATTATTATTATTAGTAGTAGTAGTAGTAGCAGCAGCAGCAGTAGTAGTGTTAGTGATATTATCAGCAGTCTTGATTTCCGTGGCTTTAATATCAGGCGAAATCCGTGAAAAGTCCGGTTTTATAGACATAGTTTCCGAATCAACGATTGTCGAAAAATCGGGGATGTCGTCGGTCATATTCGATTCGGCGATGAGACTGTCGAGTTGAATCGGTTCGAATAACGATTTTGCGTTATCGGTAGTGTTATTTATTAGGCTGTTGTTATTGTCTGAGAGTGATGGTGAGGATGACGATGAGGATGGCGATAATGGCAATGATGTTGGTGGCGTTGATAAGGAAGAAGATGCTGATGACGTTAAAGAAGATGTTGATGCTACGTGCCTATTGATGAAATCAATTTCATTGGATAATTTACTGTTGAAATCATTGCAAAATATTATCTTAGACTCTAATCTGTTAATGTCTTTTCTTAAACTGCCTAATTCTTTCAATAATTCGTCCATAATTGTCATTTGGCTGGCTAAGTTCTCCTTTATTTGTTGGTTCTCTGCTAATATGCTGGTGAGTGTTGAGTTGGCGTTATTAAGTTCGGAGTTTGTGGGCGCGCTTGATTTGTTGAACTCGGAGATAATGGTCTTATTGAGGATTTGAATGATTGAGTTGTTGCTTGTGAGGAAGATATCATATGAAAAGTTTTCCAGTGTAGTTGTTTCACCTGGTTTTAGTTCTGTTGCAGACGTTGAAATGTTTGTCGCTGAGGATGTTATATTTGATGTTGTTGTTGTATTTAATTTTGTTATTGTTGATGGTGGTTGTGAGGATGGTGTAGTAGCGCTTGGTGTTGTTGTTTTTTGTGTTGGCTGTGTTGATTTTGAAGACTGGCATGTAGGATTTAATAAGGCAGAAAATAAAAATGTAGTTGTTGTATCTGCTGTTGTTGTTGTTGTATTTGATAGCAAAACTGTAGTATTTATTGATGCGTTAGCTGTTTCTGTTCTGTTAACAAGTTTTACATAATTTTTTATTATCAAATCATCATTCATTATATTCTGTTCTTCTTTTAGAATTGATATAGTATCATCATTTTTAATCATTGGATCCTCATTCATTATGTTCTGTTCTTCTTTTAGAATTGATATAGTATTATCATTTTGTATCATCAGATTATCATTCATTATGTTCTGTTCTTCTTTTAGAATTGATATAGTATCATCATTTTGTATCATCAGATCATCATTCATTATGTTCTGTTTTTTATTTAAAATTGATATAGTATCATCATTTTGTATTATCAGATCTTCATTCATTATGTTCTGTTCTTCTTTTAGAATTGATATAGTATCATCATTTTGTATCATCAGATCATCATTCATTATGTTCTGTTCTTCTTTTAGAATTGATATAGTATTATCATTTTGTATCATCAGATTATCATTCATTATGTTCTGTTCTTCTTTTAGAATTGATATAGTATCATTATTTTGTATCATCAGATCATCATTCATTATGTTCTGTTCTTCTTTAAGAATTGATATATTATTATCATTTTGTATTATCAGATCTTCATTCATTATATTCTGTTCTTCTTTTAGAATTGATATAGTATCATCATTTTGTATCATCAGATCATCATTCATTATGTTCTGTTCTTCTTTTAGAATTGATATAGTATCATCATTCATTATGTTTTGTTCTTCTTTTAGAATTGATATAGTGTCATCATTCATTATGTTCTCTTCTTCTTTTAGAATTGATACTGTATCATTATTTGCACTGATAGTCGATGAGGATGATGTTAAATGATGATGAAGAAGAGGAAGATGATGATGCTGATTGAGATGATGAGTTTTATTTAAAATGAATGTAGATTTACAGACTTGGCGGAAAATGCTGGATAAATTTAAGAAGAAAAAATACGAATCGCTCATTTTAGAAGATGACGTTGTTATGTGTGATGATGATGGATATATTATTTCTGACGTCATTTCAAATGCGTTATTTGATGTTGTCGTCTCATTAAATTTTTCTAGTGGTGTTGAAATTGTTGTAGTAGTAGCAGCAGCAGCAGTAGTAGTAGTAGTAGTAGCTGTAGAAGTAGTAGCTGTAGAAGTAGTAGCTGTAGAAGTAGTAGCTGCAATTGTAGCAGTACTAGCAGTAGTAATACTTGTTATATTATTATTAGTTGTAGTGATAGTTGTACTATTTGCTGTTGGTTCATTTGATGTTGTCGTTTCATTAGATGTTTCTGATGTTAATTCTAGTGAAGTTGTTGAAGTTACTTCTGCTGCTGCTACTGCTAGTTCATCTGATGTGGCTGATGTTTTTAATATTTCTGGCTCATTTGAGCCCTCTTTTTCTCTTTTTCTATTGAAACTATCAATGATTGAATTAGCGCCTAGATCAATGTCAGTTTTTAAATGAATTTTTTTATTTAAATTTGATTTTTGCTGGCATGTATTTGCGAAGAAGGAGCGAGATAACACTAAGAAGTGATACATATTTTTATTGCTATACGGTTGCGATACGTGGGGTGTGGTTGCTGGTTTTGATGTCGTTTCGGATGTTGTTGGTGTTGTTGATTCCGATGTTGTCGATTCTGTTGTTGTTGTTGTTGTTGTTGATGTTGAGTTTAGAGATGGTTTATTTGTTGTTAGTGTTTCTAATATTGATGTTGGTTCTGATTTTGTTGGATCGGCTGACGTTGTTGTTGGTGTTGTGAAAATTTCTGGTGAAGTTGTTAATTTTGAAGTTATGTCTGCTGATGTTGTTGTTTTTGTTGATGTTGTTGTTTCTAATGCTGCCTCTGAAGTTGATGTGTAAGCTCCGTCTAAAATGGTAGCGTCTGTTGTTGCGTCTGATGTTGTTTTTAAAATTGTTGTATCCGTTGTTGCTGCGTCTGATGTTGAATTTAAAGTTGTTGCATCTGGTGATGTTGCGTCTGAAATTGTTATGTCTGGAGTTGTTGCGTTTAATTCTATGTCTGAAATTGTTGTGTCTGTTGTTGTTGCGTCTGATCCTATGTCTGAAATTGTTGTGTCTGTTGTTGTTGGTTCTGATGTTGTTTTCAAAATTGTTTTGTCTGTTAGTGTTTCGTTTGATGCTGCGTCTGAAATTGTTGTGTCTGTTGTTGTTGCGTCTGATCCTATGTCTGAAATTGTTGTGTCTGTTGTTGTTGCGTCTGATTCTATGTCCGAAATTGTTGTGTCTGGAGTGTTTACGTCTGATCCTATGTCTGAAATTGTTGTGTCTGTTGTTGTTGCGTCTGATCCTATGTCTGAAATTGTTGTGTCTGTTGTTGTTGCGTCTGATCCTATGTCTGAAATTGTTGTGTCTGTTGTTGTTGTTGCGTCTGATTCTATGTCCGAAATTGTTGTGTCTGGAGTGTTTACGTCTGATCCGGCATTTGAAGTTTTTGCTTTTGGTGTTATTTCGACGGTAGTTTTTGTCATCTCTGATGTTGTTGCGCTTAATTTGGTAGCCTCAGAAGCTTTTATTATTTTTGACTCAGTTGTTGTTGTTGTTGACGGTTTTAAATTTTCACTCAACAAATTTTCTTTCATTTCAACTGCTGAAGTTGTTGAATGTGTCATCGCAGTTGATGTGTTTGTTGTCGTAGCCATCAGGTCTGATGTTATATTTGAAATGTCTGTCGGTTCAGCCCTCTTAAAAGTTGATTCTGAGTTGGTTAGGTTAAATTTGATAATTGTTTCATTCCGATCGGAGCTGTTCAAATTTGTAGACGTTTTTCCAGGTTTTTCATCTGCTGATCTGCTTATCGTATCCAGTGTGTGAATATCCATTGATGATGTTGCTTCGTTGTGTAGGGTACTACTGTTTACATAATCTGTTTTGTGATGTTTCTTTTCGTCTTGCTGTAGTTTTGAAGTTTTGGCTGTTGGTTTTGTATTCATTGTGTTTGTGTTTGTTGTATCAGAATTTACGTTCACTATTTCTGGTGTTTTGTTCGTTATATCCAATGTTTTTTTGATTATATCGAATGATTTATTTGACATCGTATCTATCTTGCAGATTTTTTCAAAATTTAAATCGCGAACGTAGGAGTACATATCAGAGGATGATGTCTTAGCTGTTGCTATGTTTGAATCTGTAGTTGTAGAGCTTGTTGATGGCGTTGTTTTAGAGGATGTTGTTGTGTGATTGTTGTTGTTTTTGTTGTTGCTGCTGTTGCCGTTAATATTGTTGTTGTTGTTGTTGTTGTCGTCAATGTTCCAAGCGAAGCATTGTTGATCTAATTGCAACTTGTAAATAAAGCTTAAAGGAGTGCAATAATCGTTATGAGAATCATTTCTTGCTGGTGAACTATATGTTATTGATGGAGAAGAAGATGAAGATGAAGATGATGATG